GGTGCTGGAGATGAAAGCTGGGCTGACCACGTGCAAAGCAAGTGCTCTACCCGCTATACGGTCGCTCTCTGTCTTGACAGGGTTCACAGCTGCCAGGTGAGGGAGGGCCAAGGTGAGTGGCCATCACCTGCAGGGACATGCGCACCAAGACATTTGATATACCCTGGCAACTGCCCCCGGGAGCTTCCCAGGAGTCTCTAGGTAACCAGATAGTCCTTGCCAGCCCCTGGCCGAGGAAACTGATCCCCAGGAAGGAACACCGTGGGATAACTGGCCCAGGAATACGGGACAGTGCCGCCAGCTTACCAGTCCAGGACCGGGAGCCCCACAACTCCGAGACTGGGGTTGCTGCCAGAATTACAGAAATGTGGGTTCAGGACATCGTCCCCCCATTTTTCTCTCCTTTTGGATTCTAGGTCACACCTCTCTGTGCTCAGGGCTTACTCCTGACTCTGCCGGGGAGCCCATATTTGGTGCCAGGAATCGAAGCAGGGCTGGCCGCATGTAAGACAAGAGCCTTCACCCCTATACTGTCCCTCCAACCCCCTCCTTCCTTTTCTACCCTGCCTGGGATTTCAAGATTTCCTATAAGGGTCAGCAGTTCTGGGACTCAGAGATCTGTAAGCAAAAATCAGTCTTTGGTTTGGTGGACAGCACCCACTGAGCTGTTCTCCAAGTGCGGGTTTTGTGCCAGCCGAGGGTCTGCCACTGAGGTTTTCCTCACTGTTGCCTGAGGTAATATTAAATATCATACGTTGGAGCCTTGGAGATGCTTTGAGTGGAGTGCCTTCTTTGCATGTGGGGGGCCTGGGTTCAATCCTCTGCACCACAGAGTCCCCTGAGTAGCACCAGGCATAGCCCCTGAGCACCTCTGGGTATAGCTCAAAACTCAACCCCAAACATCACCTCCCTCCCTCCTGCAGCCCCCAGGCTGTGCAGATGCCAGGCTTGCTGGATGAGCCAGGGATGCGCTCACACTACCCGCTTCCTGGGTCCAACCCGGGGGCAAGGGATCTGGAAAGCTTTTCCCACCTCCAGCCCTGCCAGTGAGGTGTGAAGAGCAGACGCTGGCCAGTGCAGAGTGGTGGACCAGGACTCCAAAGTACCATGGGGCATCTTGTCCCTGTCTGCTCTCCCTGGCACAGTCACTGAGTGGCGGGAGGGGAGGCAAGTGTGATCTTCCACTGTCACCTCAGCCGGGCTGGGGCTGGCCCAGGAGAACCACAGAGTGTGTGAGAGCAGAAAATCTGGCATGACCACCTAGGCAGGCTGGGTCACTCTCATGGGTGGGCTGAAAAAAAGAAACAAACAAACCCAAAAAACAACACAGAGCAAGGGCATGCTTTGATGAATTGGGAGCCAGCCCACCCTACCTATTGGCCTTAGGGTGTGGTGGAGGGTGGAGGGGTGGTGACTCTTCCCTGGCCCCTCCCTGCATGGCAACAGGGTGCTATGGTCTCAAGCTAGCCTCCCTCTGACCATCGGGAAAGAAGATAGGTGACCAGGAGCCGGCGTGATGATACAGCAGGTAGGGTGCTTGCCTTGCATGTGGCCGACCTGGGTTCAATCCCCAGCATCCCATATGCACTGCTAGGAGTAGTTCCTGAGGAGTAGTTCTCTGCTCTGAGCACAGAGCCAGGAATAACTCCTCAGCATCGCTGGGTGTGACCCAAAAAGTGAAAAAGAAAACAGATAGGAGACCAGAGACAAGAGCCTTGGAACCCCAGCATCCTCCTCCTGCAGTCCTTTCCAACCATGGCTGTGTTGTCCCTGCTGGATTTGGGGTCACCTCTGTGTCCCTTCAGATCAACTTCCCCCTCAGGATCTTGCCTAGCACCTTATCTTCCAGCGTGTGGCTGGATCCCCAGACTCAGGGGACCTGGAGCTTTCCTTGTGAGTTGGCCATTGGTCCACGCTTTGAGAAGCTGGCACCAGGGAGGCTTCCCTTGTCTTCTGTTTTTTTTCTTTTTGGGTCATACCCAGCGATGCACAGGGCTCTGCACTCAGGAATTACTCCTGGCAGTGCTCAGGGGGACCATATAGGATGCTGGGAATTGAACCCGGGTGGGCCGCGTGCTGCAAGGCAAACGCCCTACCCGCTGTGCTATTGCTCCAGTCCCTCCCTTGTCTTCCTGAGACAACATGGTGGGAGCTCTGAGGAGGCTGAGGAGGTAGGAGGTAGGAGCTGGCAGCAGTGCAAGGAGGGGAACAGATGCGGCTGGAAGCTGAGTGACACCATCTGTGCTCCAGAGAAAACACAGGAGGCTGCGAGTCATTGGGTCCTCAGGGAGGGGGCCCATCCCTTGATTAGGGGCTGTGTGAACCGAGGCCCAGGGAAGGACTGAGGAGCAGCCGTGAGCAGAGACGGGCTGAGGGAGGGACTGTCCCTATTCTGGGCTTCTGAAGAGGCCTGGCTGTGTCCAGTGACGAGGCTCTGGTGAGTGGAAGCACAGAGCCTGAGACCCTCTGTGCGGGCCGGATTCATGGGTCCTTCTCTTCCGCTCTCTTTCTGAGCTGCCTCCCCTTGTGCCCCAAGGCCAGACTCAGCCCCAAGGAGGAGGAGGATGGTCCTTGCGGGGGCCCAGCTGGCACGCTCCGTCAGCCCTGCTCGGCTGGCAGCCACGTCCAGACAACTTGGCGCCTGAGCTTGGCTGCTCGCCCCCCAGCCCAGCCAGGCTGCTCTGGAGAGGCGGTCTGGAGGGCAGCAGCAGGAGGTGGCTCCCTCCTTGGTACAACAGCAGCCTGGCCCGCGCACCCAGAAAGTCGTGGGGAGACAGCATGCCACTTCTGGCTGAGCTGGGCTGTCTTCTTTTCCCCAACAGAAGCCATTTCTTTTATTTTGGGGTCTGCTGGCAATGCTCAAGGGTTACTTCTGACTCTTGTTGGGGGATCGCTCCTGGATTTCCTCAGGGACTATAAGGGATGCTGGGGATCAAACCCAGGTCAGCCACATGCAAGACAAATGCCAGCTCCGCTGTGCGCGGGCCCCCAGAAGCCACTTACAGTGGCTTACACTTACTTTCTTAGCCTCTTACAGTGGAAACATTGAAGTATTTTCCTTAACCCTTTCCCCATGTTTGGACTTCTCCTGTCTTCTTAGAGGAGAGGGGTGGGGATGGGGGTTTAGGCTACACCTGGCAGTACTCAGGGTATATTCCTGGCTCTGTGCTAGGGGTGGAGACAGGGACAGAACCAGGGTTGACAGCATGCAAGGCAAGGACCTGAGCCCCTCTATTCTGGCCCCTCCCTTCTCATCTTTTCACCTGGAAAACACTTCTATGAGCCCAAGGGAACCACTTCACCTGCCTTCACTAGCTTGGCTGCTCACCCCCCAGGCCGGCTACTCTGGAGAGGCGGTCTGGAGGGCAGCGGCAGGTGTAAATGTGGGGTAGGGGAGGATGGACTTTCTGTTGGCTCAGAATTGTTCCCAGCTGGAGAAATAAACTCCCACACCCCAAAGCTCAAGCCAACAAGTCTACACTGGCCTTTCATAAGAGAACTACAAAGCAGCACCCCCACCTCCCCAGGTGCATCTCTGTAGCCCAGGTGAAAGGGAAGAGGTCAGGAGGTCATGCTGAGCTGAGAGAGATTGCCTCCCTCTGAGGGTGATTCACCGCAGCCCAAATCTGGGACTGCAGGAGAATTGTCCATAGAAACTGATGTGGGGGACTTGGAAAGGTGAAGGCATTCCACTCCTAAGTCCACACTTTCAGCACCTTGTCTCAGGACAAGTCCTAGATAAGACATTTCTGGGCCTGGGTGATAGTACAGTGGGTAAGATGCTTGACTTGCACGTGACCAACCCAGGTTTCATCCCCCCATGCCACATACGTCCCCCTGAGTCCTATTAGGAGTGATCTCTGAGCACACAGTCAGGAGTAAGCTCTGAGTGATGCTCAATGTGGTCCAACCCTCCTTAAAAATGACATTTCTAGGGGCTGGAGCAATAGCACAGTGGGTAGGGCGTTTGCCTTGCACGTGGCCAACCCAGGTTCGATTCCCAGCATCCCAAATGGTCCCCTGAGCACTGCCAGGGGTGATTCCTGAGTGCAGAGCCAGGAGTAACCCCTGTGCATCGCTGGGTGTGACCCAAAAAGCAAAAAAAAAAAAGACATTTCTAGAAGCCCAACTGGGTCCTCCCTTTACCCCCAAACTCAGGCCACAGCAGCCATCCCTGGCAAGTGCATACAACTTCCAGCTCCTTTCTGGGACTGGTTCATTCTGTTCTTGCTATTTCTCCAAGAAGGGGTGTGGCCTGGAGCCAGGGGAGTCCCCCAACTTTTGACCTGGGGGGTCAGGTCTGTCTGAGGGCCAGACATGTTCGTTTCAAATCTTCATCCCAGCTGGTTTGTCCTCGAGGACCCTTGATGTGTGAAGTGAGCTGCTGGCTGTGGTTCTGGCCAGAATGGCATAGAGGAAGTGATGGGCTGTCATGGGCCAGAACTCAGGGCAGGAGGAAAGGCTGTGACTGGGTTCCCCCACTCACCAGACAGTGCTGGGGGGGTCTTAGGGGTTGTAGATGCTGTTCTTAATGTGCTCAGGAGAGAGACTGGTTAGAGCCTCTCTGCCCAGTGTGCAGGAGCCCCGCCTGGCAGTCTCCTGTCACACACACACACACACACACACACACACACACACACACACACTGCCAGTCATGACACCATCTGTGGCCAGACACCCAGGGACCTCTGTCAGAGGGAGTGGGGGCACCATGCCATTGGGCATGTGCGCCGCTCACTCCACTCCTTGAAGGTGGGGACAGACCCTGTGGCTGTATCACCATAGCTGCGACACCCATTCCTTTGTGCTTCGTTGGACACAGAGCAGCCACCAGCTACAAAATCAGCTTCAAGCTCAACCGTGCGGGACGCAGGGACGGGAAGAGAAGCAGGCAGACTTGCTGAGGCTGGAGGACAGTTGGGTCAGGAGTGACCGGCAGGACCTGAGATCCCCGTGCTCTTGACTTCTCTGTGGCCTGAAGAAAGGATCACCCAACTTGGATGGATCCTCCCTCAGGGCCACGAGGCCACCCAGGCCCTGTCCTGGATCCTAGAGGCATGGCCACTCCTGCCTCACCTAGCCTGTTGGATAGCTCCGGCCTGGGCCACCTCCCAGCACTCAGCCCTACTAAGGTAAGCCTGGGGGGAGCAGAGACCCTTCTCTCTCCCTCTCCCCTCCCAGCTCTGCTCCTGGGTCCATGTTGGGGCTCTGAACAGGAGACTTCAGCCCTGCTGTGGGGCTTGGGTGTAGGGCCAGACTTCTGTGCCTTCCTGGACTCAGAGGCCAAGAGACAGTAATGGCTTCACCCCAAGGAGCAGAGAGAGCAGCCCTGCAGGAGGGACACTGGATACCCCAGACAGACCCAATCTCTAATGGCTCCTTGCCTTCCTGAGGTCTGCTGGCACCCTATGAAGCCTTCCAGAGAGGAAGGAATATGCTTGGTCTCTGGATTTTTCCAGAACATGACGGGGTATTGGGTGCCTTCTGCTGCTCCATCATCCTAGCCAGAGGCCCAGGACCACCCCCTATCAAACCCACCATTCACTAGGGGGTTGCTAAGGGACCCTGAAGGTATGGGAAAGCTGGCCAAGGTCCTGGCTAGGATGGAAAGGCTCCAGAAGTTCCAGGGATCTGGGCAGGACATAGACTGACCAATCCTCCTTCCCCAGGAAGGAGCAGAAGATGGAGGGTTTGGTTTAAACTTATTGATATATTTGGGGGGCACACTTAGTGGTGCTGGGGGTGGAGACAACTCCCTTGTGGTGTTCTGGGGTCACTCTTGGTGGTGCTCTGGGGACCGCTTTGAGACTGAGACGGAACTTGGATTTTCTGCATCTAGAGCCGATTCTCGGCCCTTTGAGCTCTCTGCAACTTATTGGAGAGGTCGCAGTCTCTTTGTACCACATCAGAGGGTCTAAGCGCCCCTCTGTGACCCAGGGGCTGACTCTTCTGTAAGGGTGGGGTTTGAGTAGAGAAGCACAAACCTGACCCATGCATGACCCTGTGTTCCATTCAGGCACTGCAAGAACTCCAAGCATGAGTGACCGAAGGGGAAAAAAAAATCACTGGAGGGGCCGGAGCAATAGTACAGCGGGTAGGGCATTTGCCTTGCACACAGCTGACCTGGGTTCAATTCCCAGCATCCCATGTGGTTCCCCAGCACTGCCAGGAGTAATTCCTGAGTGCATAACCAGGAGTAACCCCTGAGCATTGCGGGGTGTGACCCAAAAAGAAAATAAATAAATAAATCATTGGAGGAGGCATGGCCATAGACAGTGGTGCTCAGGGGTCACCCCTGGTGGTGCTCACAGGACCACGCAGTGCTGGGTATCAAGTCTGTGACCCTGGGGATGGACCTGGAGGGTCCTCTAGTCCTGCTCTCTGAGCCATCTCCCAGGCCTAGAGGAGAAGCAAATTAATAGGAGCTTCCCTTCACTCTGGCCTTGGCAGCAAGATCAGCTTGTTTGGCTTTATTTTTATGCTACACCTGCCTATGCTCAGGGATCAGTCCTGGAGGGCTCAGGGTACCGTAGGGGGTATCAGGGATTGAAACCAGGTTGACCACTTGCAAGGCAAGTGCCTTATCTGTAATTCCTGCCATTGCAGCCCCCTCAAGATCAGCTTCATCCCCTTCACTAGGGGACACACAGCCTCTTCTTGGAGGCCTCCCGAGGGGGCATTCCGCCCCTCTCCACCACCCCACAGCCTAGGGGGCCTTGAATACCATTGTTGACTGTCTCAGACACTTTGGCAGGACTGATGTGGGGGAGATAAACCCCCAGGAACTGGCTCTGCTTTTCCTTAAAAAAGGGAGAGAGGGGCTGGAGCAATAGCACAGCAGGTAGGGCTTTTGCCTTGCATGTGGTCGACCGGGGTCCGATTCCCAGCATCCCATATGGTCCCCTGAGCACCGCCAGGAGTAATTCCTGATTCCAGAGCCAGGAATAACCCCTGCGCATTGCCAGGTGTGACCAAAAAAAGAAAAAAAAAAGAAAGGGAGAGTCCTTCACCTGCAGGCCAGACACGTCTGTGTGTGCCACTAAGTTCCAACACCTGACCCTGGCCTGCTCCGTGACACCTCCTACCTCTGTGCCAGGAGCTTGGCTTTCTGGAGACCTGCATTTCCATTCTGGCTAAGCCATTTGCCACTTGTGTGGGCTTTGAGCCTCAGCTTCTGTCCCAGACCCAATGGGCATCCTACTCCTTTCTTCCCAGGACTGTCTGCTGCTGCCAGGGGATAACGGGATGTTCTATCTCTCCATCTCTCCACAGGCAGCCGAGGCTCAGGCAGCTGCCTGGGTCCCCTTCCCCACGGTGGACATTCCAGACCATGCCCACTACACCCTGGGCACGGTCGTCCTACTGGTGGGGCTGACAGGGATGCTGGGCAACCTGACGGTCATCTATACCTTTTGCAGGTGTCTGATGGGCAGGGCTGTGGCTTGGGGGATGAGGGTGGTGGGCCAGGTGGAGACAGGGCAGAATTCAGGGTGAGAATGTGATGCCAGCTCAGCCGGGGACCTCCTGAAGCCAGTGAAGCCCTCAGTGCTCTCTTGCCCCCCCCTCAAGCTTCAGACCCAGAGCAGTGGCCACAAAGGACTCTGGGTAACTGAGTGTGATAACCGTCTGGGTTCTGGGGACATCCTGTTTGTGGGCTGTGTACTCAGAGGACACCCCTAGGACCCCTAAGATATCAGAGTCCTGCTCCCTACTCACCTCTGCCATCACCTGCCCCAGCGGATGGGCTTCTTCTTCTGCCCTGCAGGGTGCCCCTGAGTCAGGGTTTGCTCACAGCCCCGCAGCCAATGCCTGCAGCTCCTGCCCCCCTGGCCTGTTCAGAACTGACACTGAGACCAGAGAAGGAATCGCTCACTCCATTACCAATTTGCCTAAAGAGCTCTCGCTCCCCTCCCCTCCCCTCCCCTTCTCCTTTTTCGTTCTCTTGTTCTCCTTTCTTTCTTTCTTTCTTTCTTTCTTTCTTTCTTTCTTTCTTTCTCTTCTTTCTTTCCCTTCCTTCCTTCCTTCCTTCCTTTTTTCTTTTCTTTCTCTCGTTCTCTTCCTTCCTTTCTTTCTCTTGTTCTCCCCTCCCTCCCTCCCTCCCTCCCTCCCTCCCTCCCTCCCTCCCTTCCTTCTTCCTTCCTTCCTTCCTTCCTTCCTTCCTTCCTTCCTTCCTTCCTTTCTTTCTTCTCTTCTAGGCAATAGATAGGAAGCCTGGGCCACTCCTGGCAATACTCTTCTTACTGGTCCTGACAGTTTAGTGCTCTGGCCCACTGATGCAGCTTTGCTCAGGCCCAGCAGTGCTCATGGGGCCATGTGGGATTGGAAATTGAACTCAGGGCCTCATGTGCACACAACACGTGCTCCAGCCCTTTGAGCTGTCTGCCTCGCCCTGAAGCCTCAGTGTTTACACCTAGAAAATGGGAGATGGAGACAAAGAGGGATGAGGGCACAACCATCAGCTCCTCTGCTCCCCCACGCGCAGGGAGAAGACAGTAGTCAGCAGGGCGTGAGCCACAACGTGCTGGGTGAAGGGGATCACGGAGGGGGGCGGGAGCTCCCCAGGGAGGAAGGGAACTGAGAAGCTGGTGGAAAAGTTCTGTCTGGGTGTGTGGGAGAAGCGAGCCAAGAGATCTGGCCTGGAGGGGCTCAGGGAGATGCAGGCCAGGCCAGGGGGAGAGGGAGTTCGCACAGAGGGAGCCCAGAGAAGAGGAGAGGAAATGGACTGAGGCAAACAGCAGCCTCTGCCGGGCTGCCCAGACACGCTGTGTGGCCCCAGAGGGGCAGGGCAGGCCCTGCTGGGCAGCATGATGTGGTTCCTGTCCCACAGCTGCACCTGATTCCGTGTGCCCCGTACATGCGTGTGCATGGACCTGTGTGCACGTGCACATGTGTGCATGCAAGGCATGTGCCAGTGTATGTGTGTCTGTGTGTGTGTGTGTCTGTGTCTGTGTGTAAGAGAGAGAGTTGTCATGGCACAGACACCTCCCAACTGTGTCTGGCCTCCACAGGAGCCGGAGCCTACAGACACCCCCCAACATGCTCATCATCAACCTGGCGGTCAGCGACTTCCTCATGTGCTTCAGCCAGGCGCCCGTCTTCTTCGCCAGCAGCCTCTATAAGCGGTGGCTCTTTGGGGAGGCAGGTAGGCACTTGGGACTCCCTTGGGAGGAGGGAAGGGGAGATGCTGTAAATGGAGGTGCCCATGGGGGCGGGGAGCCTGGGGGACTGTGATTAGCTTCTCTTGGGCAGAGTGTGGGCCGCTGTCCTCAGTCCATGGTGTGACCCAGAGGACCTTGTGCCTGTGCACCTGCTTCCCGACCCCCCAAAAACCTGCTTCGTGGCAAGGAGAGGGGGAGGTGGGGGCCCTTGCCTGCCTTTCTTGAGAAGTGATGGCAGGAACTGAGAAGAACTGTCCCAGACCCCGCTTCCCTGGGAAGCTGATGGCTCCCTGCCCAGCACACTGAGCGCCAGTGCCCACAGGCTGCGAGTTCTATGCCTTCTGCGGAGCTCTCTTTGGCATCACCTCCATGATGACCCTGACGGCCATCGCGCTGGACCGCTACCTGGTGATCACACACCCACTGGCCTCCATCGGGGTGGTGTCCAAGCGGCGGGCAGGGCTGGTCCTGCTGGGAGTCTGGCTTTATGCCCTGGCCTGGAGCCTGCCCCCCTTCTTCGGCTGGAGTAAGTGGGTTGGTGCAACTGGGGGAGGAGAGAGACTGGGAGGACATGCTCAAGGGGCAGCAAGGGGGACTGGGAGGACTCCCGGTCTTGGTCAGAGAGGGCCACTGGGTCAGAGGGTCAGGGTTGTGGGACTGTCAGCAGCGGCGTCGCCTGCTTCTGGGGGCAGGAGACCCAGGATTCTGGTGGGTTCTGTTCCCCATAAGATTTGGTGAGTGGCCTTTGTCATCTCTCCCTGAGCTGGTGACCCTGCCAGGACCTGCTGCAAAGCTCCTCTCACTGCATGGGGAAAGGTTGGGATAGGGGCCAGTGTTTGGGGTGTCTGCGCCGCGGTGAAGCCTGAGCTCCCTGGCCTGGCTCCCAGGTGCCTACGTGCCCGAGGGGCTGCTGACCTCGTGCTCCTGGGACTACATGCGCTTCACACCGTCCTTCCGCGCCTACACGCTGCTCCTCTTCTGCTTCGTCTTCTTCCTGCCCCTGCTCGTCATCATCTACTGCTACATCTTCATCTTCAAGGCCATCTGGGAGACGGGCCAGTAAGCTGGAAAAAAAAGCTAGATGGTGCTGGGAGCCTCATCGGGATCCCCTAGGGTTCCCCTAGACCCCCTCCCACTCTACCCCCGTTGCACTCCTAACTTCAGACAAGCTTGCTGGGGGCCTAGAACTTGGCCAGGGATTCCAGGGCGGAGGGTGGAGCACCTGGAGACAGGACTTCAGAGAAGGTGCCTTTCGGCTGGGCAGCAGGCAGGGGGACCACAGATGCAGCTGGGCTGACATGACAGAGCCCTCTCTGGGAGCGGGGATGTCTGTGTCCCCGGGAGACTCACTTTGCCCACGGGGGCACAGATCCACGCCCCCCCCCCGTGCCCTCCCTTAGGGCTCTCCAGATGTTCAGAGTCCACGAGGGCGGCTGCGAGTTCCCGCAGCAGCGGCAGCGGCTGCAGAGTGAGTGGAAGATGGCCAAGATCATCCTGCTGGTCATCCTTCTCTTTGTGCTCTCCTGGGCGCCCTACTCCGCAGTGGCCCTGCTGGCCTTTGCCGGGTGAGTAGTGACTGGGGCTGGGGGTGGGAAGAGTAAGATGCCCTGAACAGCCACGGGGCTGGAGTGGAGCTACCCTGCCCCTGGACAGGCTCTGCTGAGCTGCTGGGGGTGCTACTGGGCCGTCTTGGACCTGGCTGATGGCCTGTGTCCCAGGTCCCACTGTCCCTCCTGGGGGCCTGGGGCACGTGGATCTTCCTGGGCCCTGGCTCCTGCATCACCCGGGCTATGGGTACACAGCATGGCGTGTTTCTCACCTCCTGCCCACCAGTTCTTTGTGGGTCGGGGCTGGTGGCTTGGGCAGCGACATGGACCTGCCATGGGTCAGACTCGAGGAGCACCCTGGAGGCAGCGAGAGCTGTTCATCCTGTGGTGTGGTTGGGTGGGCCATAGGCCTTGTCCTTGCATAGGAGCGCTCTGGTCCCTTCTTGGACCCGCCTGAAAAGTTCCTCTCCTCTGGGATAGCCAGGGAGTCGAGGGCATCAGAGGTGATCGTGGAGCGGGGCAAGGGCAGAGCTGAGCAGAGACCAGGGTCACTGTAAGTGAAGGGGCTGATGGCTGGCAGCGCAGTCTCCAAGGGACAGTGGGGCCTGGTGGACCCCCACCCAGCCTGGCCCACCTTCCCGGCATTCCTCCTTCAGCTGCTCCCCAGAACTTTGCTCCCCTCCGATCACAACTGTTGCAAGTGCTGCAGTCCCTCAGCAGGGTCGACTGAGTTGGGCTGGTTGGACCCAGACAGTCTGGGCATCCCCGAGGGCAGGATTCCCAGGAAGAAGGTTCCTGAGAGGGCAAGTGCACTGCGGAGTGTCTGGACCTCTCCAGGCAAGGTGACCCTTCCCCCGCCTTCTCTATGCTAGGTACTCTCATGTGCTGACGCCCTACATGAACTCAGTGCCTGCCGTCATTGCCAAGGCTTCTGCCATCCACAACCCCATCATTTATGCCCTCACGCATTCCAAGTACAGGTTTGGTGCCCTTCCCAACTCCCGAGGACCACCATCCTGCCAATGGGGCAGGGGCTGGTCATTCTTCCTGTCCAGGTCATTGCCCTGTGCATGTCGTGGGCAGGGGTTGCTAACAGGTGGGAGCAGCCACACACACGGGTGGAGGGGGGCAGGGGAGTGGGGTCTGGGACTGGTGTGTCCCCCTCTGCTGCCTGAGGGCTCAGCTTTAGAGAACATCTGTCTTCCCTGGGCAATGGGGCTGCCTGCCATGAGGGGGTTTTCAGTTCTTCCTTCTGCCTGGTGGTGTCAGTAACTGGCCATCCTCCCTGGTCAGCAGCAGCAAGCATCCCGGCCAGCTCAGAAGCTGTTCCAGGCAGCTCCATCCTAGAGAGGTGCCTGAGGCCAGTGCTGTGAGGGCTGGGATCCCCCCCCCCCAACCCCTCACTCACATACCTGCTGCCCTGTGAGTCTATCCATCACCTCCACCCCAGCATTGTCTCTCTGGCCTTAGCACTGTTGGACTCCCCCTGCCCATCCCAATGTCTCTCTGTCTTCACAGCCCCAAAGTCAGAGTGGGCCTTTCCCCACCCCGGTCCCTCTGTTCACCTTCAATGACCCCGTGTGTCCCTTCCCTGGCCCTAAGCAGGTGCATTGCCTCTGCAGAATGGCCATTGCCCAGTACCTGCCATGCCTGGGGCTGCTGCTGGGGGTGTCGGGCCAGCAGCCCCGCCTGTACACCAGCTACCGCTCCACGCACCGCTCCACGCTGAGCAGCCAGGCCTCGGACCTCAGTTGGGCTTCCGGGTGCAGGCGCCAAACGTCCCTGGGCTCTGAGACTGAGGTGGTAAGGATGCTGGGCTCTCACGGACATGGTACCTGGCTGTCCCTTCCTCACCCGGGTTGGGCAGTGTGTGCGTGCGTGTGTGTGTGTGTGTGTGTGTGTGTGTGTGTGTGTCTGTCTGTCTGTCTGTGTGTCTGTATGGGTACAAAGGAGTGCCTCTGAGATCCAGGCACCCTCAGCCCTTGGGGCAGCTGGCAGGAAGAGTTCCCCACAAGGTACTCACAGTCTTTCAAGACATTGTCCCCTCTGTCAGGCAGACTCTCGGGCCAGAGCGGTGACAGGTTGGCCCAAGCTGACTTACCCTAGTATAGACCAATATTTTATGAATTAGAAATAAATGATTTTTTTTGATCCACACCTGGCAATGCTCAGGGTTTAGTCCTGGCTCTGTGCTCAGGAATTACTCCTGAAGGGTCTTAGGAGACCATCTGGGGTGCCAGGGATTATACCTGGGTTGGTCCCTAAATTAAAAAAAAAATTTAGGATGATTTTGGACCAGAGATATAGTACAGAGAATAGGACATTTGCCTTGCACCAGCTAACCTGAATTTAATCCCCAGTGCCCCATGTGCCCTGAAGTGGATGCCTGGAGTGATCCTTTGGGTGTGGCCCAAAGACCATAAATGAATAAATAAAAAAAAAGATGAGCTTTCCTGGCCCTCGCCAGGTGTCCAGCACACAGGAGGCGCTCTCATTCCCTTTCTCTCAGCATGAAGCCTCCAGGGACCCCCAGGCTGCAGCAGGACTGCTGGCCAGCACATACCTCCTCCATGTCCTGCTGTGCAGGTCCCTGGCCTTCTCTGAGCCCCTGCGGCCTCCTTGAAAGGGAGAAGAGTCACCTTTCTCTCTAAAATGGGCTAGGGCAGTTCTGAGAGCCACTGTCAGCTCTGGGAGCCTCTAGCCTCCAGCCTCTGGTGCTGTGCCACCTCTCGATGTCCCCAGGAGAGCTCACTGCCCTGTGAGCTTCTGTCGCCAGCTGCCCTTCTCACTGGTTCAAGCTTCAGGGTCCACCAACCTCCTCCACAGTTGCTTACCCAGCAGCCCCTGCCCAGGGGTCTCTATTGGGGGCTGAGGGAGGAGCTGCCGTAGGTCCCTTCTCTGCACCGTTCTCAGGAGTGATGACAAGGAGTGAGTCTTACCTGGGAACAGAGGCCTAGACCCTCCTGAGGCTCCCGCCAGCAGTTCCGTGCACACACTGACACCCCATCTCCCAGCACAAGCACCCAGAGTACCCTCACAGTAACTGCACTGTGGGGAGACAGAGAAGGGCCTCGTGGGGGTAGGGTGGGCAGGGAACAAGCCTGTCTTGCATCCCACGTGACTCTCATCTGCTCCAGGCCTGGACAGACACCGAAGCTGCTACGGTGTGGGGGGCCATGAGTGGAAGATCCCACTGTGCCCAGGGCCTGGAGGACTTGGAAACCAAGGTCCCTCACGAACTCCCAGGACTGGATGCCGAGGATCTTGGGAAGGTGATTGGGCCTGGCACCTGTCAATCTGCACTAGGGTGGGGACAATGGACAAGTAGCTCTGGAAGTACCCCCAAAGGGGGCTTGTTCTGGGGTCCTGAAAGCCCCCTTCCCCACGTCTCCCAGCCTTCCCTTGACCACCTCAAGGCCCGGGGGTCACTGTCACTGCTGATGCTATGCACAGGCATGGCCAGGGAGGTGCTGAGAGTGCATGGGATTGTGTGTCCCCGGAGCTGATGAACGCCATGTGAGGATGGGTACATGTGCGTCAGTGTGTGACCGTGAGGGGATGGGATATGCCGTGGCAGAGTGTCACTAGGCCTGTGTGACGCTGTAACTGTGACCCCTAAGCCATGGAAGGAACCGTGCGTCAGTATGTCTGCTCTAAACCGTGTGTGTGTGTGTGTGTGTGTGTGTGTGTGTGTGTGTGTGCGTGCGCATGGAGGTGAGTGATTGGAGGCTGGACATACCTGGGTGGGGGTGTGTGTTTGTGCTTGCTGTGAATGCCCAGAGATTAGGCTGTCACCCAGAATACTCGCGGCTATTAAAAGAAGCCCAGCTGTCAGCCCAAGTGTCTGTGGGTCGGAATGCCGGTGGTGATGAGAGAAGGCCGGGTCTGGAACGCTGGCAATGCCACACACACAGGGCTGGAAACTGCCTTCTCCTGACCTGATACTCCTGCCCCTTCACTTCTACATGGAACCGCCAGGTCCTCTGGACCCCCAGATGGCTGGAGGATTGACCCACATTGGGCTCGGTTGAGTTCATTCCCAAGGACTTTCCTGTATGCCTTCCCCAAGGCAGCTCTGTCTCTATCCCAGGCAGGGAAAACCCCAGGCTGTTATGAAGCCCCTTCTCCAGCATCCCCAATTCTGGGAGCAATACTCCCCTCATGTTCCAGCTGCAGGGACAACCCCCTTTCCTGCCCTGAGCCCAAACTCTGCATAGCCACTACCCCCCATCCTCCAGTGCAAGCCAAGCAGGTCCAAGTCAGCCTTCAGGAGCCACACAGGGCCTTCTGGATGTTGCGTGCATGCGTGCGTGCGTGTGTGTGTGTGTGTGTGTGTGTGTGTGTTGCGGGGGGGTATGGGGCACTGGGTGGAGAGGGAAGTGCATGGACAGTCCCTAGTCACAAGTACTGAGCACTGTCATCAATGAGCACATGCTAAGAGCAGAGGCCAGTCTCCAAGGGGGGAGTCTCAGTCTGGGCTGTCTTTAGGGTTCCCAGATAGGACTCCAGCGGGGGCGCGGGGGGCAAATGAAAGACCTACAGAAGGGTGCTAAGAAGGGTTGGGTCAGCTTGGTTGTGACTGCCGAAGGACAGGATGACTGGAACGAGTCAGAGGGAGGAGGCTGGAGAAGCAGAGCTGGAGGCCAGGCTGCAAACTAGGCCCGCAACTAGCAGAGCCAGATCACCAGATCTGGGCGATGGGGCAGAGGCATCAAGAGGAGTGGACGTGGATGGTGGGGGGCGAGGACCAGCTCAGGGGTCATCCCAGGGAGGCATCTGGCAGACAGCCACAGACACGGCCGGCCCCACCCTCCAGGCCACATCGCGACACGGCCAGGACACCAGCTGACCTTTCCATGTCCCCTCCCTTCCCACTCTGGGATCCTCCACTCAGAGGTCAGGGGGAGCCGGTTCCCAGTGGACACAGACCTGTGCTACTTGTTTGCAGACCAAGGGGCTGCTCCCCAGCCTGGAGTCAAGGATGTAGGGCATCGCCTCTCTTCCGAGACGCCCAGCTCCCCCGGGGCCCTGCGACGCACACACTCTGATCCCGGATTGCGAGCACAGCCCCGCACCACCAAACACCTGCCCTGCTGAGCGGTTCGCACCCACTTCTCATCTCAGCAGCTTGAAGCCTCGGATCCCCGCAGCACCGGAGCTGGGGCTCCCTGCAGTCGCTGCCTCTCCTCGGCTGCTGTGAGCTCTGATTGTCCCAGCGAGGACAATGGGGATGGCTCTGCAGGACACGCCAGCAATTTCTGAGCCGCCTCTGTCCCTGGGTTGGGCATCACCCGTGCGTGGCTCAGGAAGGCTGGCACCACCTCCCTCGCCGCTGCCAGTGGAAACCAGGCACAGATAAATGCTTCCTGTGCCGGAGGAAACCATTACCCACCCCTGCAGCCGATGCCCCCTGCGACCACACTCTTGCGTACACACACTCCCTTTGCATGTGCTCCAAGCACGTCTGTGTACACCACACATGTGCCGTGTGTCCAAGGAGCATCTCGGGGCATTTCAGGCTCTGGCAAGCACTAGGAAAATAAAAGGCAGAAATTTCCTCCAATAAGCGTGGGCTCTACCTACGGTGGCATAGCGAGACTGGCCTCTGCTGCCCAGTGTGTCCCTTCCTCTGGTCCCCTGTCCCCCACCTTGTCACGGTCACTCCTGAAGCCCTCCACTTCCAACTACAAGGGGCAACAGGGTAAGAGTGGGGACAAAGACTAGGCTTGCCCTCATCCCAGCTCTTCATGAGCTGTGGGTATCAGGAAGCATCTTCCCACCCAGTCTGTGGGTACCAGCTGCTCTCGGACTGCCCTGGGGCCTCCCAGGGGAGGCAGATGGTGGGAGGCCGGCCTTCCCCTTTAAGAGGCATCCTTCGCCTACCCCTCCCTTTCTCCAGAGGCAGCAGCAGGCGGTGCCCAAGTCCAGAGAAAGAGGCTGCAGCTCCAGGTACAGCCTAGTCCTGGTGGGCGGGGGGGGGGGGGGGTCCGGCTTCTACCCAGGAGACCCCAGCCAGGTGGCTCCCCCTTTTTTTCTCCCTTACTACTCATACTCTACAGCTGGGTCCTCCCGGGCCTGGCTAGGCAGACATGCCTAGGAAAGAGGGTAGACTGCAGCCAGGATGGACGGCAGGGGAATGATGCAGGGGAGAATTCCTGAGAGGGCAGGGGAAGGGTCGGGGCGCCTGCTTCCCGGTGAAGGAAAGAACACAGTGTGCTAGGCAGGAGGTGTCTGGAGTGGGGGGGTCATTCCTTGTGGTACTCTGAGTGCTGGATGCCACCAGGGCGAGACCCAGTAGTTGGGGGTGGGGGGGCATTGCCAGGGAACTAACCCAGGGACTACTGCAGGCGAGGCCTGCGGCACAGCCCTCTGTGCTCTCTCCCTGCTCCCCCACTCGACATTCCTGTGACTCTGTGCAATGCCCTTAAGCCCCTGTGTTGTGGGGACCTCCTCCTACCACCCACATTGTATAGGCCAAGCCCAGGGCACGAGGCTGAAACCTAAAAGTCAGAGAATCATTTGTCCTCAAGCCGGTACTGAATCCTCGGGGTCCAGCCCAGAGTGCCGCCCCTTCCCCAGGCAGAGAACAGGTGCTCAAGCCTCAGTTTCCCCGGTTTCCACCAGAAAGGAGCTTGATCCACCTGTTGGCCATCCAGGGCCTGATGTCTCTCCTGGGGAAGGATCTTGGCACAGTCCACGGGGGCAGGAGAGCCGAGGGGCCTCAGCCCCCACCCAGAACACCCTGTCTCTGGATTAGGGGTTGAACACGCTGCACACAGCTCCCCTCCCTGCTTTCCTGTCCCGAGTCCCAGCAGCTGAGCAAATGGCATCTCCTCCCCTCCTCCCTGGCCCTAACCATTCCTGTGTAAAGGGCATGGGGGCCTGGCGCGCACTGCTGGCAGCTGGAGCTTTCCATGCTGCTGTCAACTTTTCCAGAACACAAACGAGGCGGCAGAGCCAGGAATAACTGCTGGGCCCCAGAGGGTCTGGAGGGGCCGGGCCTGCCCTGAACCTGCTTTCAGACTCGATGCCGACAAGTACAGGGAGGGCCCACTGCTCCCCCAACTGGGGCTGGCATTGGTCAGTGTCGGAGGCCTAGGAAACCTGTTATCTGGCACTCGTCCCCTCTGACTGAGCCCCAGTTCCCGCGGGCCTTGGTTCATCACCTGTGTGACCTTGGAGAAGTCACTGAACCTCTCTGAGCCTTGGTTCCTGCGGGCCCAGGAGGCAGCTGCCTCTCAGGATGGGATCACGGCATGAAGGGCCAGGAGCTGAACTTGGCTCTGCCCAGAGCTGCTGCTATCGTTACGATGATCTTTATGGCTGGACAGTCCTTGGGCCCCCTGCCAGTCTCCTGAGCAACTAGAGGCTCAGCGCCGTTCTCAGCAGCAGCAGGACTCCACACTGGGTGAGGCACACCTGCAGGGGTCTCACAGGAAGCCAGTCCCAGAGCCCCCGCAGGAGCTGGGGAGAAGTTGCAGTGGCCGGGACACTTGCCACGCACACAGCCGACCCCAGTTAGACCCCCAGCATTCATATGGTCCCCCAAATGTCGCCAGGAGTAAGCCCTGAGCACCATGACGTGTGGCCCCCAAACCCATCCAGTCTCCCCCCAAAAGAAGAGAAAGCCCAAGCCCCTGCCCATGCTTTTCTGAGCAGAGGAGTGGATGGGGCTGGGCCGGGAGGGGGCACAGCTGAGCCCTCAGGAGGAGAGAGGAAGCCAGGCCGCTGGGACATTATCACTAACCTGGCCCGTCCCCTCTCCTGCGTCCTGGAAAGGGGGTGCCGGCTGCTGGACACCCTCCCCAGGGGCTATATTAGCCTCGTGAGTCACAGAGGACCGGCTGGGAGGCCGCGGGCGGGCGGGCCCAGTGTAGGGTTACAGTCCATTTATGGGCGCAGCGGAGGGCAGATATCAGTGTCGATGACATTCATTCCCAGCTATTCTTAGGAGCCGCTTGGAGCGGGCCAGGCAGCGAGGGACGAGGGACGGAGCAGGCAAGGCCTGGGGTCGGGGCAGGGTGAGGTCGGGGCTGGGACGCAGGTGCCCGAGAACCCTCTCACTCCACTCCTCTCGCCTGTCCACAGAGGTGACCGCACTCCGCACCAGCATGTCCTACAGCGTGACCCTCACCGGCCCCGGGCCCTGGGGCTTCCGCCTGCAGGGGGGCAAGGACTTCAACATGCCCCTCACCATCTCGCGGGTGAGTGTGCTGCGCCTGTGACCCACCCCAGGGACAGGGCACAGCCGAAGGAGGCAGGTGTGTCTGTCCGACTACCCTCTCCGGGGCTGTCAGCAAGTGTCCATTCCTATTTCAGGGTGGGGGGCTGGATCAGAGCCCACCAGACAGCAACAGTCTCAGACCCCTGGTTGCTCCACTGAGTGGACCAGGCAGTCATGGGTGTGAAATGTTCCAAACATGGAGTGAGCTTCAGGCCCTGGAGGAAAGGCTGAGCAGGGGATAAGAGCCTTCTTCATCCCTTCCCTGGTCGGGTGGGCTCAGGGTTACCCCCGGAGCATGGCACAGCTCCGCAAAATGGACAGCAACTTGGGGAGAGAGCAGCCTTACCGAAGGGCGAGCGGGAGGGCAGGCGGACAGAGGGAGACAGTGCGGGCCGGTGGCCAGGCTCAAGGCTGTGCTGATTACGTGCGCTCCAGCCTGGCTCAGCCCTGAGCCCAGATAGCGGCCTCCTCTGTTCCCTGGCTTCCAGACTCTGCCGCCTCGGGCTGGGACTCGCCCCCTCGCCCTGCTCTGTCTGCCTCTCCCGCGTCTCGTGCCCCCTGGGAGCCTAGGGAAATGGTCCGTGGGTTCGTACTCTCTGATCTGACACTGCTTGACGGGAACACACTGAATTCTGGAGGCTGTCTGAGCAACTCTCTGGCCTCAGGAGACCCCAGAGCCCGGAGGCGAGATGCTAGACCTGCCCGAGAGGAAGCCCTTTCTGAGAAGGGACTTGGTTTTCAGCACGGCCGGGTGCCCCCGAGACAGCCCGAGCTGAGGACAGAGCAGGTGTTCGGGCGTTCTTGGTCAAGTACAGGATTTCCCAGCAGCTCCGGCAGGGCAGAGGCCGAAGGTGGCAAGGCTCAGGGTGACTGTGAGCTGCTGAGGGCGAAGACAGTCCCTGGCTGGGAGGTAAGACTGAGGTGGAGTCCTCTCCTCTCAGCACTGCCCTGAGTGCAGGGGCCAGGCTGACGCTGCCCGTTTATCCCTGTACTGTCTGGGTGGCTGTCCACCCAGAGATAAGAAGACAGCATCTGGCCTTCCTCCCTCCCTCCCTCTGTTCCTTCCTTCCTTCCTTCCTTCCTTCCTTCCTTCCTTCCTTCCTTCTTCTTTCCTTTCTTCTTCCTCCTCCCTTCCTCCCTTTCTTTCTCCGTTCTCTTCATTCTCTTTCTCTCTCCCTCCCTTCCTCCCTTCCTTCCTTCCTTCCTTCCTTCCTTCCTTCCTTCCTTCCTTCCTTCCTTCCTTCCTTCCTTCTTCTCCTTTCTCTCTTTATCTCTCCCCATCTTTCTCTCCAACTCACTATTTTGTTTTATTTTATTTAAATTTTGGGCTACACATGTGGCTCTGCTCAGGGCTTACTCCTGGATCTGTCCTCAGTGATCACTCCTGGCAGGGCTCAGGGTTCCCTATGGGGTACCGGGGATGGAACCCAGGTTGGCCAAGTGCAAGGCAAGCCCCTCCTACCTGCTGTACAGTCAATCCAGACTGCCTGTGTGTCTCTCTTTCTCTCTTCTGTCTCTGTCTCTCTTACTTTCTTGTGCTTGGGCCTTTCTCAGCACTCGCTCCAGGCTGTGGTTGGTGCTCAGGGGACCATGTTGTGCCAGGTTGAACGGTGACTCCAGCCCTTCGAGCTGCCTCTCCAGAGGGCGAGTTTCTTCTCTCCCGCAGGAAGACTAGTCTGGGGGGCAAAGGCAGAGTCAAGAGGGACGGTCAGCGGGTAGAGGGCAGGATGCAGCAGGCTGAAAGATGGTTGACTGAGGGTGAAGGAAGTGGACATCTGTGCTGTGCTGAGGTGCGGTCTTAGCTGTGGGGACTTGGGGGACCCTATGGAGCAGCA